ATAAAAGGCTGCACCGCAGCTGTGAACAGAGATGGATCCCCTACCTCCTAGCCACTCAACTTGAAAGCCATTTGCAGAGGCTTTTCTCTCCACAATTAGCTTTTAAGGAACAGCTGTCCAGACAGCAAATGGGTTGATTTCTTGCTTCCTCCTTGATCCAGAGCAAGTTGAACGGCTAGCTCTTGCTGCCAGCCACCAATCAGCTGTGGTGCCATCTCCACTATTTCAAAGCCACTAAAGCCACCATTAGTCCCCACCAGAAGCCCCGGAGAAAACTTGGTTTTTCCTGTACTTCATTCACTACACAATATACTTTTCATAATGAAGTGAGACAATGAAAAATGTTTCATAAAGAAGTTTTCTTTCTCTTTTTTGGTTTAACAAACTACACTATGTAGGATTTCTGCTCACTAAGTATAGTTATTCCATAAATATATTTAAGAAATTGTTCATTTTTTAGTTAGAGCAAGTCGTGAAAGAAGAATCATTTTAAAGCAATTTTAGAGCTCTTTCAAATTTGAAACCGGTATTTTGAACTCAAAACACTCCCAGAATCATTGAAACAGTCTACAAACCTGAAACAACCATTTTGTACTTGAACCAGAATGTTTTATACTCAAAACATTTACAATTCAAAGCATTTGCATACCTCTTCTCCAGAACATGTTCAAAATTTAGTAAATTCAATAAAATCTTATGATTATCCATCAATTTATACAAAAGTTAATATTACTATCTATTACAGCAACAGGTTTTTACTAATTTTTTACTATTTTACAGTATTCAACACATTTATATGGCCGCCCTTTGCATGTTTTTATAATACTGAAATACTGAAAAAAAGTACAAAACAAAATTTAGTCAAATTATTTCTCTGTGTAAACACACCATAATAGTCAGATTAGTCAGAATGACTGCCAAAGCAATTTTAGAAAGGAAACAAAACTGAAGTTATAATATTCTCAAATCATTAACACTGAAGCAATTAAATAGGAGATCAAATTCCCTTCACTATTGTACAGTTCATCAGTGTCCAATACAGTATCAACACACAAGACCCTCGTTTGAACTAACCCCACTTGTAAAAAATAGACCTTCAATCTTCAGACGTACTACCTAAAGTTTCTATTATTCCAGTGAGTCATCCCATGCTGTAGTCTAATTACTATTTTACTTGAAGTTAGTAGTCAGACTGGCAAGTCCTTGTTGTGTACATGCTCATCACAATACACAAACAAGCATCATGCAGAATTAGGTGCAGGTAATTCTTATTAGACTAATACTTCCTTTTCACAACTGGGGGAATGACAGCCATTTCTGATGACATTTCCACAGGCTTTATTTAAAGAGGATTAGTGCTGTAGATGCTGCAAATGGTAAATTTTATCCTAGAAAAACCTGGGGGGCGGGGAGGAACCATAATCCACTTTTAAAACAATAGCAATATAGATACTTGATTTTGAATGTAAATACATTCAGTTTAATGCAGCCATTTCAGAACTTCTTTACAATCACTTCTGAATAGGTGGTCTTCATAGTAAAGAAATTAATACTTAGCAGATAAAGAGCGATACTGTCATCCCAATTTATGAAATTTAGCATACTCTGAATAATTCTTAGTGAGCAATTCTTAGCAGATTACTGAAATATTGATAGTGTTATCATCCTCCATTATTATGTCAGAGATGGTCTGCAATGTATAACAAGTAACTATTTTTCTCTATCCAATATCCAAAGTCTAGAGAAGATTTGAGATAAGAAACTCTGGCCCTGCTTTGAAATCCACTTTCAGCCCTATGTTTGACCTGTAAGAAACAGCTGATAGATAAAGAATCAAGTATATTTCAGTATTTATTTTTGCTTTTTTGCTTGCTTGTTTAAATAGTCAGTTATAATTACAAACAGTTTTTAGCATTTTTAAAGCAATCACAACTACACTAAGCATTCACATTTACCCACCAGAACTGTGAATGACACTCATTCACAAATCAGGATGTACCGGTGTCTGACTCATGAGATTAAAAAAAGAAATCCCATGATTGAAGTGGCAATTCAAATGCATTTCTTCTCTGCCTCCTAATATTTTCATCCTTTATTGTTTAAGCCATGAAGAAGCTATTGCTGCTAAGGGTATGAAAGTTAATGTAACTATGATTCCCCTTAAACATCATTTCTGTATTTCCAGTTTTAGACAATATTCTAGAACATATACCCAAAATTTTGATAGCATACACAGGAGCTATTTTGTGGAAATATAACTTTGTCATGTGTGAAAGAATGAAAGGCAGATAGTACTTCTAAAATAAAAAGCATAAATGCTATAAACTTTTAAAATTAAAGTATTGTTGTTCTGTGAAAAGCTCAAAATACAGGAAATTTTAGTGAACAGCATAAGAGTTATTTATGGAATTGATACATGAAAGATTCTGTCATAAGTATAAAAGATTGTTTAAAAATTATCTTTGGATGTTCTCCAACACTGTGCTTCAATGCTCACCAGAAACTTCCATGGATTCAGAAGAAACTGAATGCTTGTTTACATAGGCTTAAGCAGGAAATGGACTACAGAGCATGTTGGCTACTCCAAGTATTTCCTCCATCACATAGCTATTCACCTTCAGTCAGTCAACCTGAGAGAAAGAGGTAATGGATATCTGCAGAGGGAGGGGGACTTTCAAATACTATGTTGCTAACCTTTGCTTCACAGCACAATCCTATGCATGTCTACTTAAAAATAACTTTCACTGTATTCCATGCAGATTTACTTAAGAGAAAGAAAGTTCCACTCACTGCAGCCTCAGACTGAAAGCTCCTATTAATTTTTAAATGGTAGAGGCCAACTTTTCCTAAAGACTGCTTTGTATTTCTTAAGATCTTAACAACATGCACACTGAAAAAAGCTGAAGAACTAATTAGGGTACAGTGGTTGAAGAGGTAATTTGTGGGGACAGGAGAATTACTTCAATAGCAAAACAGTAATTCTTCAAGTATCATATGCACAAACTAGTTTGTTTTAAAGTGGCAGGCGCAACCATCTGAGCCCACCATAACAAAGCAAGATAAATGGCACACCAGTTTACAATATAATGAACACTGATAAAACAAGCTTGGAAAGACCAGTATTCAGTTAAAAAAATGCAAAATAACTTCATATTT